CCAGTCATTCTATTACCAAGGCAATAAGACCCTTTTATGTTTAGGTTGGCAGAGTCCATGTCTGTCACTTTCTACCAAAGCATACTGTGACACACTCCTTCCTTCCTTCCTCTCTTCCTATTTTTTTTCATCAACTGATTGTAAGAAATATTTTACATCACATGCATGTGCACACACACAGTCACACAATGGAAACTAAGGTTTCACAAGGCAATAATTACTCTTTTTAAAGTGTTTTTATTTCTTGATGAGAGAGAGAAGGGGAGAGAGAGAGAGAGAGAGAGAGAGAAATAGCAATTGTTCTACTTATTTAATGCATGCATAGGTTGCTTCTTGTATGTGCCTTGATTTGGGGTTGAACCTACAACCTTGGTATACAGGGACAACACTTTAACCAACTGAGCTACACGGCCAAGGCCAAAACGATTTCATTCTTTAAAATTCTGCTTATACAATCTGCTTATCCTAAATTGATTTTGCAACTCATTAACGGGTCTGCCTTGCAGCTTCAAAAACCCTGCTCTATTGAGAAAGCTGCTTAAACTGACACCCGTTTGCATGTCTGAGTGTTTGCAAAAGGAGGCAGGGCCAAGATGGATCTTTCAAGTCTCATAGTAACGATTTGTTTACTTGTACAAAGTGTGTTTCCTAGGCCACACCAGCCTGAGGGGAAAAGTGAGATCAGAAGTATGGCACAGGCTGTTCCTCTCTCTCTCTCTCTCTCTCTCTCTCTCTCTCTCTCTCTCTCTCTCTCTCTGCTCTCATTGGCTCTCACAGAATCGCCTAACCCTCCACAGAGACCCCTTCCAGTTTCTGAAGATGCCTAGGAAACACACATTTGCCCCCAAACATCACACTCTACCCCTCATTTTCTTTCTCTTCTGCTCATTCTCCAGTCCCTCTGATATCTGTGGGGCTGTCACTGCTGCTCGGCCACTAAGGGAGCTGCTTTTGGTGGAAAATCCAGGGACTTCGGTGATGTGTGAGCTGAGGGCCTGGATAGGGACGCTGCTGGTCTCACATCCTACAGCATCTCCAGTACCACAGTTCTTAAAGGCAATGCCACAGTGCACACCAAACTGGACAGAACTCCTTTTACTACAAGGATCCCAAAGTGGGTCTCTCTTACCTTCTCTAACTTACACATGTTCAAGGGCAGGGGGCAGAACACAATGTCTACCCTGCACTCAGACCACCTTCTCTTCCTTCAGCTCCAGACCTGTCCTTGGACTAAGTTTGGATGTTGCTACTCTCATCCAGATGGGTAAGTTCTTTCTTTCCCAAGAGACTCCTTGGTTCCTCCAAGTGAAAAGATTCTTGGCAAGGCCACAGTCTGTCATCCTGCCCAGAAGTGCCTGCTTTCTAGAGTGAGCATACATTTAAGCTAAACCCATTTTTATGTGAGAGCTTTGCTTCCCAGGTATTAGGAGTGACATGTTCAGAATTTGAGTCCTGTTGCGATGATGATGATGATGATGATGACGACGACGACGACGACAACCACGATGACAAGCACATTAGGTACATTACTGCATTCATTTCCTCAAAAATTCTGTATGGCACATACGAGTATTATCCTCATTTTACAGAGGAGAAAACTGTGGCCTAGGAAGATTAAGTAGCTGGCCCATGTGAAGAGCCAGCCCTGGACCCGCTCAGCCATTCCTCTACAGCTAGGACTGGGCACTGAGCTGCCTTGGCCAAGGCCTTCAGCCTCCTTGGGCCTCCTTCAGTTCTGCTTTCCTCCTTTCGAGGCCCTTTCCCAAAGCCCCAGGTGGAGTGCCAAACCTTATCCAAAGGCTTTCAAATGGGAAACCCCTAGGTTTCCACCCTCCCACTTCCCACAGCCCCTCTGGACCTGGTCAGGGCTTCTGGAAGAGGACTGGTCAGGAAAGGAAGCTTCATCAGCAATAGACCCCACCCCAGGCTCCTCAGGGCTTTAGTGTAGCCACCTGCCCTCCTCTCTGTAGTCCCCTTCTCAGAACCAATTCTGGAGGCAGGAGTGGTTTCTCTCCCTAGATGGCCATCAGCATTCTGCATTACAGTTAAAATTCTGCCTGATCTTAGTTGAATAGGGAATTCAAGTCTGGGCTCAAATGCCATAGAAAAAGAAAAAGTTACTGTCTTTTCAGAATGCCCATTGTAACTTGTCCTTAGGATCCCTCTTTCCTCCGCCCCTTTCTCTGAGGCGACTTCCCCCTCCCCCGCCCCATCATGGTCCCTTTCCAATTAAATTGACCAACTGAACCGCCAGAGAAATACAGCTGCACAGTGAATAGTGGAATAGTTATGGTATGAATTCTTTCCCTCATTCATCTGCCTTCCCAGCTTAACCAAGTCAGAGAGTTTGAAAGACCACTCACCGTTTCTTTATGTCCACAGAGCACAAAGCCAAGCGCTGAAGAAGCAATCTTGATAACTTGACACATCTGAAAGTGGAACATAGGGAGTGAATTATCCTGATTGACTATATCCACCAGTTTCCCCCCCATTTTTTTCATTAAGGTATTATATGTGTACATATCTTACCATTGCCCCCCCATCCCACTCCCATACATGCCCTCACCCCCCAGTGTTTTGTGTCCATTGGTGATGCTTATATGCATGCATACAAGTCCTTTGGTTGATCTCTTATCTCCCACACCTCTCCCTAACCTTCCTGCTGTAATTAGACAGTCTATTTGGTGCTTTACTGTCTCAGTATCTATCTTTTTGTTAATCAGTTTATAATATTTTTTATTATCCATAAATGAGTGAGATCATGTGGTATTTTTTTTTTTCATTTATCCACCAGTTTAACCAAATATCCACCAGGGTCACCCCATGCAGAGTGGTGGCTCTGCCATTTGCAATCTGTGCTACCTCTTAGTGCCTCAGTTTACCCATCTATAACATATGGAGACTGGGTATGAGAATTCTAAGGTCCTTCAAGTTCTCAGAGTCTTTATTTTATAGCAACAAAGACATCCTTTACAAGTGAGATAAGTTAGGGGGGAGGTGATTGTTTGAATAAAAATGATCCTCTCTATAAAATTTCCGCCACATAATTATTTTATAGAGCACATTTTCACTGTGTACTTGATGCAGGATCCAATGTACAAAATACTGACTTTCGGCCAATTTTTAAAATGACACTTTCACTGTTGCCTATGGGGCTTGCCCATAGGTCACAGTTTCTAAGAACACTATGATAACTCCCTCCCTCCAGAAAATCCTTGACAGGAAACCAGTAGAATCCATTCTAAAATCATCACTTCTCTTGGATGGAGTTTTCCTTTTCTTTTCTATAAAAATTATATTTATAAACCTTTAAAAACTGTCTTAATTATAATAATTTATTGGTCCTTTTGGAGCACAAACCAGATATATCACTTTCCTGCCTAAGGCACTCCAGAGGTCTCCCACTGTTCTCCAGGGTCCTGCCAGGTGGTGGCCAGGCCTTTGCATGTGCTGTTACCTCCACCTGCAATGTTCTCCCCAATTCTCTCATCCCCCCCTATCCTGGAACTCTGCTCTCTCTTTACTTCTTCAGGGAGTTGGCAGAGTCCTTTATGATAACTCTGAGGTGCGATGTGAAGTTTCCCTGGATGAGCACATCTTGACCAGAAGAGTCTCTTCACTCTATGGTTGCTCATGACGGCACATGGGTGGCTCACTGCATAGACGACACTGTCCAGGCACTGACTCACAGCAGGGTCTCTGCCTTCTTCCAGGTAAACAGACATGGAGCCACCTGTCTTCCAGGTACACAGACAGTAATAAGTACAAGACTACCAACCACTGCTCTCTCCTCACCGAGCTTCCAGGGAATTAAATGAGTGATTGAAGTCGTTGTGGGGCATGCTGTAAGAGGAAACGGATAGACTGTCCATGCATTAGGTCCCTATGTAGGAAGAATTTATGTCCTAATCACACATTTGCTCAAACAAGTCTTTTACTACTTTTAATCTAAGAAGCTGAGAGCGAAAGGTCATGGGTTAACATCCCTGAGCCAGCATGGTAAGAGGAGCCAGGGTCTCCATCCTAGAAGTCTTCCCAAGCTCCTGGACTATATCGCCCTGCCCCAAAGCCAGCACCTCATTTGTTTCTTCTTTAAATGAATTTCCATTCTAAAGGAGCATACTCTTTCCCAAATACTACAGTAGTCCAGTCTACCATTTTTATTTAATGTTCATAGTATTTATAGAACATGGATATCATCCCCACTTGACGATAGGGGAAGAGATCCAGAGATACGGGCGATTTCATGGCAGAACTGGGACCTCAAAGCAAGTCTCCGGCTCTTGGTCCAGTGTTTTTCCCACCCTGTCTCTGCCCCCTGGGCTAAGCCAGGCCTCTTTCAGAGCCCTGAGAAGCCCAAGTTGGCTGCCTCCAGCTGACAGAGAGTTCCTGCCAGGCGTTGGGTGCTACTGCTAAAGAAGAAGGAGTTCCAGAAGCAAGAAAGGTGGATTATGCACAGAGCCAGTCTGTGCTTCTATTTCCCTCCCTCATCAGGAGGAGGGAATGGCTTGCACAGTGGAGGGGGGGTGGGAGGGCTATGAAAACCAATAATTCATGACTGTTGATAAATGTCAGGAAAGTACTTACATTCATTCCCTGAAAGTCACATTCTCCGTGTGTTCTTATCTGTCTTTCAACGGTGGCATTAGTCAGGTGAATTCAGCAAGACAGCCCAAGGTTTTAGCCAAATGCTGCAGAGAGAGGGAGTTTGATTTAACTTCATTTTTTTTTCCCTCAGCCAGGGCTGGGTCCAAAGCCAGTTTTTCTGACTGGCTTGTTTGCCACGCGAAAAGCAAATTCCCAGAGGTTTCTGAGATTGCCGAGCTCCGAGGCAAGATGACTGCTGCCACCCACGCGCCCACCCACTCACTAATAAGACATAACGCCGTCCTATTTTTGGTAACAATTACAGGGCCTCCCGGTGCAAGCAGAAAGCTGTTTATTTTCTGTTACATCACTTCACTTTGCCTTCGAAGGCTGGTCTGCGCTCAGTGTTTTCCTGGTGATGCAAGTCGGCTCTCTGCTCCGGCAGTTGGATCCCTCCCATCTCGCAGCACCTCACAGGTCTCTTCCCCGAGCGAGCGGTGCATTGCTGGATCGAGGAGCAGCTCACGAATCAGCTGCAGGTCCCCGGTTTGAAAAGCAGAGATACAGAGGCAAAGGGAAAAGGGTGGACTCCTGTGTGACCTGATCTCAGAGCAGAGACAAGCACCAGCTGAATTCCAGAAGCCCTGTTCATGTTTGGGGAGATTTTTCCGACTGCATGGAATCAGAGAGAAGCCAGAGGATGGGAAATGCCTGCATCCCCCTGAAAAGAATTGCTTATTGCCTATGTCTCTTATCTGCGCTTTTGCTGACTGAGGGGAAGAAACCAGCGAAGCCAAAATGCCCTGCCGTGTGTACTTGTACCAAAGATAATGCTTTATGTGAGAATGCCAGATCCATTCCACGCACCGTGCCTCCTGATGTTATCTCATTGTAAGGCCCGTAAGCATTTGCTATCTAATTTACGATTTAAAAATTCCAGCCAGTGTATTTGGGGCTTTGTATGTACTGGTAGGAGGGCATGGAGAGAGAGATTCCTCTCGCACACTTGGCCATTTGACAGTGCTAACATTTTGCTGCATTTAGAGATTTTGATTTGGATTAGCTGCTACGGAACATGCTTAGGTACCCCCCACCCTTGAACATTATTATGAGAAACCTGTGGCAGATTCATTTCTCCTACTTCATCTGGGAAGGAACAGTAATGGTACTTCATAAAAATAGTGTCAAAATAGTGACTTGTTTTTGCTAAACCGGATTAACACAAGGTTTGTTCTGTGTGTGTGTGTCTCTTTGTGTGTGTCTGTCTGTTTGTTTTCTTTCAGATCCTTTGTGAGATCTGGTTTTACTGAAATCTCAGAAGGGAGTTTTTTATTCACACCATCGCTGCAGCTCTTGTGAGAAATATTTATATCATAACTATTTTTAAATATAGCATATATTTGGATAAGCCCTCTAGTAAAACTATCTTAATATTAATTTTGTTGAATGTGATTATATTTCTGGAGAGAAAAAGATTATCACTAAAGTGAGAGGTCCAGGGGTTTGCGTGAAGCGTGACACCCACGCTGCAGGTTGATTCTTGCAAAGGGAAATTCACTAACCTGTAATGCTGTCTACTTCCATGGCTATGCATGAAGTTGTGGGAACGTTGCCACAATGATTCCAATTTCATTCCACTATTTTACTTTCATTTTTGACTTGGGAACTTTGGTTATTTTGCCCTGGAGTTTTTGAATTAGTCAATACAGAACCCAGCATAACATATGTGCTCAAGATGTTGTCTCCCGGGGATCTGGGGCCGGCTGCTACTCTGTGTGATTTACCATGGGCGGGGGGAGGGGGAGGGAGGACTTGGTTCTTTCTAGGTAATTCCATAAAAGATTAATTCTGGGGAGATTGTTTTCTAATCTTATCTAATTTATAATTAGTTCCCTTGCAAGAAGGGAAAGAAAATATTAATATAGGGTAGTGCAAAGGATTAATCTCTGCTGTTGTGTTTTGAGTTAGCCACGAGGGAACTACATATTCAGTCTGTCTCAAAATAGTCAAAAAATAATATTTCACTCAGGTCTCCCCACAGGCATAATGTCACATGTACAATATTTTCTGATGTGTAATGTTTGGCTATTGGAGTGCTAGTTCTCAGAGCAGGACCATGTGGAAGTCAAAAGGTCCCCCGTGCTTAGATGTCAGGCAACAGTTCGGGGCTGTCGTTAACATGCGTCAGGAGGGAATCGTGGATGAACTGAGTTTGGGTTATCTTAACTGCATGATTCAGGACCCAAGGTTTTGTTGTTGTTGTTGTTGTCTTGCCTTCATTGGCCATTTTGCCTGTGTGAGGTTGTACATACAAAGCAGACAGCATGGTTTTGAAATTAGAGAGATCTGTGTGCAAATTTTGTCCCACCACTTACTAGAAATTAGATTTGTAATCTTGTGCAAATGACTAAATCTCTCTGAGCCTCAGCCTTCGCATCTGTGAAATAGAAGTGACAACACATTAAAAGATTGTAATCAGAGATAAATAAGATTTCAGTAGATGAAATGTTTGGCCTAGGGCCAAATGGTTACACATTTTATAAATGGTAGGGTTTTAAATGTTTACAGAAAGCTAAAAAAAATCACTTGACCTATTGTTTTGTCTATATGAAATGCCAAAACTGGTTTAATTACTTTATTAATTCACAAAGATGATCAGGTGTTTTGATATTATGTAACAGTGTTGGTTAATGCCCTTCTACTAGCTAATGTCTTTGAATGATTTACAATTGAGTAGACTATTCCTAAGGGATTTATGAGTTTGATTAATGGCTAGTGATATAATTAGGGGAAGTGTTAGCACATTGAACAAACTCCAAAAAGATAGTCTTTAGCACTTAAATTATCAAGGTCTCCAATACTGAGATTATTCCATATAATAAGAATTGGTTGTATCTGAGTAAGTGATAAATTGTGCTGTTGTACATTTGTTAAATAAATAAATGGCTCATTAAAAAGCATCCTTTTTGCCCAGGCTGCTCAGCCCACTGGTTAAGTGTTGACCTTTGAACCAGGAGATCACAGTTCGATTCACAGTCAGGGCAAATGCCCAGATTGCAGGCTCAATCCCAGTAGGGGGTGTGCAGTAGCTGACCAATGATTCTTTTTCATCATTGATATTTCCATTCTCTCTCTCTCTCTGAAATCAATAAAAATATATTAAAATTAATAATAATTTTTTAAAAGCATCCTTTTGATTAGCTAGGGCATCCCCTCCACCCTTCCTCCCAGGATAGTTAAATAGATAAGTCTTAAAATTCAAGAGGTCAGCAGCATACATAAAATTCAAGTATGTCAGTCAGCACATACTTCTGATATTCCCACACTAGCTGGACTTTAGCTCTAACACTGAAAGCCTGAATTGATCAACCTAATCAGTGAGCACATCTCCACTCTGTTTTTGCTGGGTGGACCAGCCTCAGCAAGCACAGATGCTGGTCAATGTTATAGAAATAGTTCCCGGCTGCTGCAGGGTAATGTGATTACACTTATTTAGAATCACAGAGGGAAGCCAAGGAACTGGTTTTTAAATAGCCCACACAGAGTGCCCCTGTGTCCCATGCTCCAAGTTCCTATGGAACATTCCAGCCCTTATTTCTGAAAGCAGTTCAGGTTTCAGAAATAACAAAAGGGAGAGTAATTTCTGCCCTGTATGTCCTTACTTAACTCACTTTGGCTAACTTCCACGGGACAGATTTATGCCGGGGCTGATCTTATGCAGAATGGTCAGGAGTCAAAGTTTGTCTCTAATCTCCAGGACCCGGTTTAAGAAAGATTTTGCTCCCATTCTTCCTGCCCGGTGTCTTCTGCTTCCTCCCATCTTTCCTGTGGAAATAGTAAGCTCGTTTTCACTGAGGAAATAAATGCTAAGGCTCCAAATGTGAACTGCGCCAGAATCATAACAGTGGTGAAAAGGGATAGTTCACAGACAGAGGCCATTGTGGCACAGGGCCATCTAGTGCTCTGAAACCCCCTATGGGCTGCCAATCCCCATTAGAACAAGATGACCCAGGGGCCCTAATTTGCCTTTGCATGACTTTGCCAGCAGGTCAGTTCAACCATGGCTGGCATGGGGTTTGCAATGAATTCTAACAGCCATTTGTGACCACAGATTACCAAACAGACCTTTCACATCCAGCAAAGTGATAAACTTCAGCATCAATTCTGCTTGATTGACATACAAAGTCAGTTGTTTTCTTGCCTGTTGTTGAGCAGGGAAATGTTCCACTCCCATCATCCACAATAACAATCTGATAAATCCATTATGGCCCCAAATGCTTTTTCAGACCTTCTGAGGAGACACGATGAGAAGTACTTTTGGAAATGTCCGCCTGGGGTACTGAGGGAAACAGACACGATTCCTCCTTAAGTTACACAGTGTCTGGGGAGAAGATCCTGATAGGCCGTGGCTGGCAGTGTGTGTGGGAGAACAACAACAACAAAAAGCCCACACTCCGTACAGAGAGGAGAGAAGGAATAAAATTATCTAATAAAATTTTATCAGGTTAAATTTTAACGTATAAAAGATATATTTTTATTAAGTGTATAAAGATATATATTTTTTAAAATATCTAATTTATTGTTTTAAACAACCTTAAAAAAAATGGAATTTCATTGATGTTTTCCTCAGGACAGGTTGTGAAACAGAACCAGTGAGAACAATTATTCATCCTGGTTTGCTTTTCATGATAGGGAGTGATGCTTGTAATGGATGCAATTTACAGAAATGAATGTGTCTTCACAATTGCAGTCCTGTTCTTCTCAACTACAGACTGGAATCCCCAGTGATACATACTCATTACAGAAGTAAAACTCAAGTTTGAGAGTATAAAATGTGGCCACATTGCCATTGTTTATAAAATTTTTAGTAACATAAATGCCTCCAACTCTTAAGAGTTATAGGCCTAGTTGGCTTGGCTCAGTGGATAGAGCATCGGTCTGTGGACTGAAGAGTCCCGAGTTTGATTCCAGTTAACCCTGACATATGTGTGGGTTGCAGGCTCTATCCCCAGTAGGGGGCCTGCAGGCGGCAGCCAAAAAATGATTCTCTCATGGATATTTCTATCTCTCCCTTCCTCTCTGAAATCAATAATATTAACTGAGTGACCATATTATTATAATCTCTGAACACATAATAATCTGGCCACTCAGTGTATATCCTATATAAAAAAAAAAAGGCTAATATGCAAATTGTCCCCTCAACCAGGATTTTGACCAGCCAACCTCCCATGTTCCCTCCCCCTGGCCAGGTTGGCTGGACTCCACCCATGCACAAATTCATTCACTGGGCCTCTAAATATATATATATATATATATATATATATATATATATATACACACACACACACACACACACACATATATATATATATATGTATGTATATATATATGTATACACACACACACACACACACACACTGAGTGCCCAGATTATTATGTGTTCAGAGATATAATCAATAAAAACATTTTTTTTTTAAAAAATATATTTTATTGATTTTTGTACAGAGAGGAAAGGAGAGAGATAGATGAGTTAGAAACATCAATGAGAGAGAGTCATCGATCAGCTGCCTCTTGCACACCCCCTACTGGGAATGTGCCCGAAACCAAGGTACATGCCCTTGACCGGAATCGAACCCAGGGCCCTTCAGTCCCCAAGCCGACGCTCTATCCATTGAGCCACACCGGTCCCGACAAAACATTTTTTTTTTAAAAGAGAGAGTTCTATTTGCAGGAAGTAAATTACAAAGCTGGTGCTGGTGAGATGCTAAAAAAAATATGTACAATGTGACCAGAAAAAAAAAAAAAGGCTATTTATTCTAATAAGATTTTATCTCGTTTGAAGCAATAGAACCGGCCCCTCTGGGGAGAAAATTTATTATTATTTTTTTATTAATCCACAATCAACTTAAGTATATAGTCCATAAAATATCAAAACTGAAAATGAAAATGCTAACATGAACAAGATAAATAATAAATCCATCCTTACTAAAGTTTTATACTTTAGTTCTTCAAAATACCGTTTGTCCAGGTAAAAATATCCATGGCCTATCTCACCTTTATAAGGATTAGCCTCCTTTTCTAGTCCTCTTTATATTACAAGTGTAAGAAAATGTAGCACTCTTCAATGATTACTCAAGCCAGACCTATTGGCTAGGAGGGCTTCTAGCTGGTTATGGATGAGCATGCTTCCGTTCGTGCAGAGCTAATGCCCCCACAATGGATCAAGAAGTAAAAATGTTAGTCATCTAGGATGTTTTGTCTACAACTTTCTCAATGACCCATAACTCTGATCTTTAACTTTTTTAAAAATATGTTTTTACTGTTTTTTTTAGAGAAGAAGGGGGGGGGAGAGAGA